AGACATAATACTTCACATAATAATTTTATGTTTATGATTTCATTTCATTCTTACATTCAAACCAGTGATATGTAGCCACGGTAACCTCCATTTTTTTAGAGATCAAATGACTGACTCCTAGTGGTCAATAGGACCCCATGTCTCCTAACTCAGGATTCCATCTGTTTTTCCTGGAACACTACCTCTAGTGAGCTGGATAAGTGAATTACTGCAAACATCAACAAAATGAAGTGTGTCACAACTTCATAATGTACTACTCTCAAGACTAGAAATATTTTCCTCTTCTGTAATTTATGTTAAGCTTTTCATGCAGCATCCTGTTTATAAAAACACAACAGTTTAAATGGCTTTTAAGACCCAGGATTTAAAAATATGTCTCATGTAAATTTTTATCTTACAGATTACAAAATTCTATTACAGTTACACAGAGCTACATGGTAATTGTGGGGTTATTCTCTGGTTATGGCTGTCCTCTTGCATTAACAAAATGAGCAAAATGAATTCCTCATCTCTTTTTACCTGGTATAGGCAATACTTCATCTCTCACAAAAAATAATATTGGCATGCGTTCTGCATGTATAGTAGAAGGGAATATACAAATGGGAAATAGTTATTGGTTTGGGATTATTCCTTTTTTCTCATATTCAACTCAAAATTCTAGTTTGCACTTCAGGAACACATTTCTCATCCTGCTTACCATGGGCTTCCTGACTAAGTGGGAGCCTAACTCACTTTCCGGGGTTGGCAGTATGGCTTTTTATGGATGAGAGCCAGGCGACCCCAAGCTAGTTCCTCCAGGCCAGGCAAGGGCATCTCTCTGGGGTGGGGCAGGCTTCTCCACCTTGCCTACTCACCAGAGTTTCATACTTATTTTATTGATTTCAGAGAAGGAAGAGGGAGAGAGAAAGGAACATAAATGATGAGAGAGAATCATTGATCGGCTGCCTTCTGCATGTCCCCCTACTAGGGATTGAGCCCGCAACCTGGGCATGTGGCCTTGACCAGAATCAAACTCAGGACCCTTGACTGTGAAGCTCTGATGCTCTATCCATTGAGCTAAACCCGCTAGAGCCATACTCCTAATTAAATCACCTAAGGGTCTGGGCTCTTATACTGCTTTTCATCCTTTACAGAAAGTCTAAGTCACATCAACCCCCAAACTTTGGTTGCTATGCAAGAACACCTGGAGATGAATAAGGGTCCAAACAGACAATTCAGCATATTCTTTTTAAAAATATATATATATATATATTTTATTTATTTTTTACAGAGAGGAAGGGAGAGAGACAGAGAGCTAGAAATGTCGATAAGAGAGAAACATCGACCAGCTGCCTCTTGCACACCCCCTACTGGGGATATGCTCGCAACCCAGGTACATGCCCTTAACCGGAATCAAACCTGGGACCTTTCAGTCCGCAGACCGTTGCTCTACCACTGAGCCAAACCGGTTTCGGCAGCTTATACTTTTCTTCTCTTTCAGAGAAGTGGTCTGATCTTAGTTGGTTTCTGAATCTCTCCTTTAAGAAAGCAGAAAACCAAAGTCTGCTTTTAGGGAACTGTCAGTTTCTGAACAGACAGCAAGGAAAACTATGGTCTCAATGAGAATGCTAAGTGGAAGTGTCTCATTACTGGTATATCTGAAAATCATTTGATGGGTTGCTCCTTCACTGCTACCTACTAATGGGAACAGAATGATATGAATTAAAATAACACTTAAAAGTATATTTGAAAACCTCCATGGTCTCAATGTCAAGTTTACAAGCAAAATGTACATTTTAGTGGCCAGATTTTATTATCAGTTGTTATAATAAAATGAAAGACTGAAAAGCTGGTATAAGAGCCTTGTGGCAGTATGTGGACTGTGTGCAGAGTGTGTGTGTTTTGCCTGTGTGTTGCCTGTGCAATGTGTGTGTCTGTGTGCACACAGTAGGGGTGAGTAGATTTCACCTCCAATTCCATTTGGTTAAAGAGAATATGAAGGGGAAGAATCTGGCTCAAGGATTTTTAATCTGTTATCTTCAAGGTCTTACTATTTTTTGAATGCTTTGCATCCTGGATGTTTGTGTTTTATTTTTTTTTAATTTCCTGTTTTTCAGTGTGGTCCACTCTGAAGGCCATTTCTGTAAAAATAGTGAGTGATTCTCTGGAAATAAAATCTACAAGTGAGCAGATACAGTTTTATTCAAGGTCCTCTATAGGGCAAGGATAGTCCGGCAACCGATTAAAGAGTTCCCAGCCTTCAAATTTGATATAACAGAGAAACAAAGGAGTTTATCTCTGAATCAGCATTCTCTGCCGTTCTCCCAGCCACACTCAGAACTGCTTGGATCTCTCCCAAATTCTCTTGCAGAAGGGGGTGGAGGTTGGCACTGACTGCATTTGGAGGGCTGTCCACATTAGGGTCCCTAAGGATATCCATAGCCTTGAGTGTCCAGTGCTTACCCCAGCTCCCTCCTGGGGTTGGAGGCAGGGTGTCTGCTCACACAATGCATCGCCCAGCCTGTCATCTTCTCTGGTTCTTATTAACTCCTCATCAGACTGGTGTGTTTTTTTTTGTTTGTTTGTTTTTTGCCTGAGAGTGGCTTCTGCTTCCCAACCTACACGTCTCAGAACCTGGCTGAGTGACAGCTAAGTCCCTTTCAAAATAGAAATCTGATCAGGTCAAGCCCTCGCTCCACAATCACTGACAATTTCCAATTGTCCTTGATAAAAAAATTTTAAAAAAGGGGTCAAAACACTTAACTTGTCCCCAAGACCCTCTCCTGCCTGGCCTTGCCCACCCCACCCTCTCACTCAGTCACAACAACCTCTCCTCCTTCCCATCTACATCCAGTCAGAGCCCCTGCTCCCCCAGCTGCACACACCCTGTCACACTGTCCCTTCGCTGGACCCGCCGGCCGCAGTCATCCTGTCCTGCCATCTCCAGCGGCTTGTCCCCTGCAAAACTGCCCTGCAATCCCTGCACTTTCCCGTTCTAGCACAATGGGGCCCATGGAAACACGTCCTTTCCCTGGAGCAGGTGCCATCTGAAATGAGGTGCTGCCTGCAGTCTCCCCTGCTTCCTCCTCCACAGAGCTCACGGCAGCAGGGACCCTGCTTTCCCTCCTAAGTGGTCATCTCACTGCCTCCCACACACATAATGGGCACTTTTAAAATGAGAGAGTAAATCAGTCCATTTAGGCCATCTCACGGTCTATACATTTTTTTTCTAAGACCTTGAAGCATTTTCTCTGACGCAAGTAAAGATGAAAAGCAGGAACAGAAAAAACTCCTACCTGCTTTTCCCACAGGCCTGTACCCACAGATGTCCTCGCCCCCTGCCCCAATCTCTTTCCATAGGAGAGTTTGGCAAGCATCTAAGTAATGGAAGTAGTACCACTCTCCTTCTGATATTTATGGCATGGGGAAAGAAGAGGAACCATGATATCTAATTTGTATTTTAATCTTTTGTCTTCCTAGTGAAGTTTGTTTTCCAGGAAAGTGTTGTAATCCAAGGAGAAGCGTGCATACTTAATGCTCCTGAAGGAGGTGTTTTGTTGTCGCTGTTGTTCTTCACTTTAGGGGAGGTGGGAAGGGGGCTGGCGGCTGGAGGCCTTTTGGTATGAGAGGTGTTGAGAGCAGGCCTCGGAAAACCTGGGTGCCTCCCGGAAAGTACCCAGGTTTGATCCTGGGGCACGAGCCACATTTTAGCCCTAAATATTTGGAGCCTCGTATGGACAGCCCTCTGTAAAGCTTCTTCACGTTCCTCAGGTGAATAAGGCGATCGAGTGCAATAGTTACGGAGTAACCGAGGTAGGGCTCTTGCAGACCTAGTTTTGAATTCCAGTTCAGTCTTTTACTAGCTAGAAGGCCTTGGGCAGATGACATAAGCACACCTAACCACAGCTTCCTCACCTGTAAAAAGGACAGACACAAACCCCCCCTACTGAGCCACATGAGGCTCTTTGGCCCGGGCAAGTCTATTTTGAAGGAGTGATGTTAGAAAAAGTTTAAGTTTAAAAAATTTGGTTCTCAAAAGAAATTTCAATCGTTGTACTATTGACATTTGGCTCTGTTGACTAATGAGTTTGCCGACCACTGTCCTAGCTCATACCTGTGCTGAGAATGAAAGGAGACATTCAGCAGTGTGCCGGCCATGGGATAAGCCAAGACAGATAATTGAACCCCTTTCCCAAAGCCTCAGAGAGGTTGAGATATGTAACTTGTGTGGTAGAGCTGAGGACCAGAGTAGAAATCAACATGCAAATCCCCTGCTAATTCTCAATGTAATGAAATTCCTAGCAGCAGGAGGTACTTGATAATATAGTATCCTTGTTCTCCCACACCATCCTCCAAGCAGCAAATTATGTTTGAGCTTCTGAAACACCTGACGCAGGAGAGAAGCCCTACCAGTTCTGATATAAAATTCTGTTGTGTTGAGGAAACAGCTGTTCCCCACAACCACAGGCAGAACCTACGAAACCAAAGAGGCGCCGATGTTTGTCCTCAACAAAAAGGGGAGACTCAAGAGAACGCAACGTGGATCACAAGTGGGCCGGCGTTATGGGAGCGGGGGCCAGCAAACTGCAGCCTGCGGGCTGACCCCGGCTCTCTGCCCACCCGGTAGATAAGGTTTTTCTGGAACCGCCATGCCCATTCAGCTGAGACAAAGACCCTAGTGTCCACACCCTTGGTGTTTGCTATCTGGCCCTTCCCAGCAAAAGCTGCGGACCCCTGATTAGAGGACATAAAACAGGGGAAAATAAACCCTGAAAGTAGATTAACATATAACATTTTGTTCCTAGACTTCTTTCTTTTCACACCTTCAGTCCCATGACGAAGAGGTGAACCAAATCCCCCAAGTGAAATGAACAGTAAGGCCTTCTAGGACCAGGGCTCCCCCCTAAAAAAAAAATAAGCCAATTTAAGAATGTGTTGCCAGCTCATTTGTCTCAGTGGTCCCAATCCCTTTGTCTCCCCAGGGATGAAATTCTGCACGTTTACAGACAGGAAAGACTCACCGGGGTTTTCTCTTCTTTAAGGGTCGGTGCTGGTCTCGAGCCTGGGTCCGATTCCTCCTGTCCCGGTGCTTTCTTACAGATGCTCGGAGACTCCCAAGTACCTGGTGTTTGCAGATCACAGTAGTGTGATTTCGTGGTCAAGCTGTTGGTGAAATCTTTGGACTGAGTTTTGCTGAAGAGAAACAAATGTGGAATTATCAAAGACATTCTTGAACAAAGACAGCTTTTCCAAAGCAGATGCCCACATTCAGATGATGTGAAAATCAGGAACAGATACCATTGACTGCGTGTTTATAATCTGCTGTGCTCTTGGCGTGGTATTGTAAAGAGATTAACTTAATCCTCAGAACAATCCTGTGAGGAAGGCCCATTACCTTTGCTTTTTTAAAAAAACAAAACAATATATATATATATATATGTATATATATATATATATATATATATATATATATATATATTGATTTCAGAGAGGAAAGGAGAGGACGAGAGAGATAAAAACATCAGTGATGGCAGAGAATCATCAAATGGCTGTCTCCTACATGCTCCCTACAGGGGATCAAGACCACAACTCAGGCATGTGCCCTAACTGGGCATCGAACCATGACCTCCTGGTTCAACCACTGAGCCTAGCCAACTGGGCACCTTTGCTTTTTATAATAGCTCAAAATAACTATATAATTTATCCAAGGCCACATAGCAGATAGCCAGGATTTAAACCCAGGTCTGCCCATCTGCTGGTTCAGGTGTTAAACTGCCACGGCATACCACCTTCCTGTGATCAGCAGAGGGTAATTCCTTTAGTTCTGTATGTCCGTGTGTAGTTCTAAGGTACAGAGGTGGAGGGCAGCACCACCAGCCCTGGGGATCTGAACTGAAGGCCATGTGTGTGTTTTTGTTTCACCAGCTCAGATAGGATTGTCAACACTCTAGGAACAGCAGGCTTCACAGAGGACACCTGACCAGAATACTCAGTTTCCTGCTGCGTGGCACCCGCTTCCCCAAAACTATCTCCAAAGAGTCCCATGAACTGCAGGCAGGAGCAGAAGGCGTTGCTCTGCAGGGTGAGAGAGAGAAATCTCAGAGCTGCCTGTGACCCATCCCCTACTCACTGCTCATACCCTATCACCTCTCATTGATCCTGTCACTTCCTTATTCAAAATACCTCTTCCCTGTCCACAGAATTCGGTACGAACTCCTAAACCTAGCCTTGGAGGCACGTTAGAGCATGGCCCCCATCTCCTACTATAGGCCTATGTGTACCCCAGATACTCAGAACTCAACATTGCCCAGAGAACCACAGGCTCCGTCAATGCTCTGTTTAGAACTTGATTGTAGCACACATCACAGTCTGTATTGGCTGCAGGGAGCTGCCTGATTCTCCTGCCAGGCTGAAGCTCCATGTTCATCTGTGAATTCCCAGTGCCCAGCATAGGGGGAGCACCTAACAGCCCTGCTTATCCCGCTGCCTACAGCTAGGCAATCTTCTTTGAGGGCCAGAAGCTTGAACGGTCACTTATATTCCTGATGTCCAGCTGTACCGGCCTGCGTTGCTTTAGCACGATTCCAGGGAAAGCAGTGATCACTGGGAAAACCACATCCACATCAAAGAGAACAACAAGTGGGAAAAGGAAACTGTTAGGTCAATGGGAAGGACAGGAATCACCAGGAGTCTAAAGAGACTCTCCAGAGGGATCTAAGTCTCTTTTGTGACCCTTGAAATCCCATCCCACTCTCCCACCCGATCCCGTGAGCACGAGGCTCTCATGGGTTTGCAGATTGCATACCTGAGCTCTTCTGCTTCCTGCTGTGCTCTGGGCTGGGTGCTCTCGGCAACGACTTCATTACAGAGCATATTGTAGGGTTTGTCTAGATGGTGTTCGCCCATCACCCACACCCAGACTTCCTTATCGGCTCCCAGTTTCCAATGAACAGATTTGCTGTTCTCTGCAAGCAAAACAAAATTCGGATTGAACAGTATCTCTAGTCAGGGGTTACTATGTTTTCCATCATTATAGTATTTAGGGTCTTTGGAGGGATGCAGATATTAGAAGAGGTGAAGCACTTCCAACCTGCCCAGGAACAAGCAGACTTCCTAGAGAACAACGGACATGGCAGCTGCAGTGATGCTTGTTTTGAATATATTTTTAAAATATTTTTATTGATTTTTAGAGAGAATAATGGAGAGAGAAAAAAACATCAATGAGAAAGACACATCCATCGGTTTCAGGGGATCTCCCTGACCAGAACTTGAATCCACCACCTTTTGGTATATGGGATAATGCTCCAACCAACTAAGTGCTCCAACACGCCAGCCAGGACAATGAATATGGGTTCTGTACATGCCCACTTTATAAATGAAGGAGGTGAGATGGGATGAAAGCATGCATTGTGTGCAGCAACCTTTAGGGTAACGGGGCTAACATCAGATATCAGAACCCCTAAAGTCTAGGCATCTCCTTGTACCCCAGAACTAATAGCCTACCCAGGATTTGGTGTTTCCACTATCTTTATAAGTTGCACTGCTGGGCGAAAACATGCTTTTGAGAGTTAGATTGGCTTTCGTTGAAATCCTAGCCCTGCCGTTCTCTAGCTGTGTGACTTGGACAAATTACTTAGTCATCTCTCTAAGCCTCTGTTTCCTCCTCTGCAGCATGGGAATATGGATATCTACTACACAGGACTGCTGAAAGAGCAGGCAGGCTGGGTGTATAGGCATATCCCCTAGTGCCTGCCATATACCAGGAGTTCAAGAGAGGTTAACTGCTATCATCACTCTCCTATTGCTTCCTTATATGGCTGCTCAGAGATTCACACCAACGGAGAGAAGATAATGCTACTGGTAGGTAGTGTGATACTTGGTGAAGCTACTTAAATAACCCTTGTTTACAACTGGTCGCAAGGATTGGGTTACATTCTAGTGCCCTACTCCTGACATGTGGACACCAAGGTCATGCTCCTGAACCCTGGGGAAGGTGGAGATGCCTGGGAGAGGCCAAGAGGCACAGTCCCTTACTCTGGCGGTCTCAGAGCAGGCCTACCAGGGCTTCCGGGACCACAGTTGGATCTGATCAAGATCCCTGGGCCCTGAGGATCTCAAGCCGCCCAGTGGTGCTGGGTACATGAAAAGGGTGCCCAACTGGAACATAGGCAGCCATGCTTATAGGTTAGAAATTCACACTGGGATTGTCTTGTCTCCTTACAGTAAGTAGAGGGAGGTTTTCTTTTCTTTTCTTTTAAATATATATTTTATTGATTTTTTACAGAGAGGAAGGGAGAGGGATAGAGAGCTAAAAACATCAATGAGAGAGAAACATCAATTAGCTGCCTCCTGAACACTCCCTACTGGGGATGTGCCCGAAACCCAGGTATATGCCCTGGACCGGAATCGAACCTGGGACCTTTCAGTCTGCAGGCTGACACTCTATCCACTGAACCAAACCGGTTTCGGCTAAAGGAAGGTTTTCAATGAAAGTGTTGCCATGTACGGTATTGTTGACTACTTCCTACTGCTGCCCGAGGATCATTAAACAAGTAGGCTGCTCAAAGTCAGACTTGTTCTCTGTTGTTGGGCGTCCCATTCTGCCCAATGCGGTGGAGACTTTCTGCAGGCTGATAACGTTCTAACTAGGATACGGGGCAGGGGGACTGAGTCCTAGTCTTCACTACAAACGGAGTCAAATGCCTCCTTCCGAAGGAAGCTGACCTCACGCAGTGCCACAAGGGGAGAGTCCGGGGAGGTGACACCAGGGGCGAAGGGAAGATCAATCCTGAATGTGCCCTCCTGGAGACGAGCTGGGGCTCTGTTTGGGGAAATGCCAAATGGCTCATTAGCTTGAGAAAGTTGTCATACCTCACCAAATGCCTTTTATCACTCTCGCAGGGCAACTCATAGTATGTTTTACTATGTCCATTCCTCAACCTTCACCTAAGTGATCCTCTACCAGTATTTCTGACAGCAGGAGGGATATGCCATGAGAGGAGACTGCAGAGTGCCAAATGGGCCGGGGCGGGGAGAGGGCCAAGGATCCCAGCAGCTCTGCTCAGTAGCGTGGCACCCGCTTCCCCAAAACCATCTCCAAAGAGTCCCATGAACTGCAGGCAGGAGCAGAAGGCGTTGCTCTGCAGGGTGAGAGAGAGAAATCCCAGAGCTGCCTGTGAACAGAGAAGGGTGCTTAGAAACTTAGACAACCAAAGGATAGTCATGATGTTTTCAAAGGAGGCGGGTGGTGAAAGTATGGTGACATTGAAGAAATCGTGGTTTTGAAATAAGAAAAAAGAGAATTAGATGTAAAATGTCAGATTTAGTCAGTTGCCAAAATAAGGGGTCTTGACAGAGAGGCACAGCTGATCATCTCTGCTCTGACGATTCCTCATTTGCAGGAGCTCTTAAAGGGGCCTGAAAGCAAAGAGATGGGAGAGGCTTCAAATGGCTCCACACAGCACCATAAAACCTTAGGGGAGGCGGGGAAGTCATTCTAGTAACATGAGGGTTGGCTCTGACACCCTCAGCGTCTGACCAACATGAGGGAAGATAAGTAAGGCCTCTGTTTAGTACACTCCACAAAAACGTAAGAGTTTCTAACTCTGAGCACAATGCAGAGCTCAATGCTGCTGGGGATGTGCGGATAACACTGATGTGGCCATTTCCTGCAAGTCACCTAGAGTCTGTGAGAGCAAATGAGGCATTGGGTTACTTCTTCAATAAATTTTATTGTGTACCTACTATGTGCCAAGCACTGAGGTAGATGCATGTCAACACTTATAAACAAAACAAGCCACTATCTGCTCTCAGGGAACTTACATTCTAGCTGGAGGAAGCAGGCATTGAATTGGGAAGGGTGATGTTAAAGGAACTATGGAATGCTTAAGAAGATGAACTAACCAGTTTGAAGGGCCACCTTATATAACCACCTTAAATGTTTAAGTCCAGTCAGAAGTCAAAGGATGGAAAATAAGTAATAAGAGAAGTTTCTTTGTGTTGAGTTTTGGTGGATAGATATGAAACTTAGAGCAGGAAAGGGTTTGGTGCCCAACACAAGAACAGCATGATCCAAGCTCAGAGAAGGGAATCCGTGAGGGGCTACGGGGAAGCAGGGTCTCACCCAGAGCGAAAAGGGTTTAGAAGTCACCTGACCATGGGGGGAGGACCTTGCCAGGGAGCAGAGGCCCCCAAGGCACAGGTCCTAGACACGTGGGTGAAGGATTTAAACTTAGGCCCTGTACTGCATAAAGCCAGAAAGTGGTATTAAAATCTCAGTATTTCCACCAACATGTCACTTTACTGCTCTGAGCGGAGTTTCTGCTTTGATAAGAGAGAGGTAATAAATCTGACCTCAGAGGCCTGTCACATGACAAAGGCTCAGAAAGTATTAGCTCCATGTTCTTGACCAACTGACCAACATAGAGTCCATGACTGTCTGTGCAGGTGGTACCAGGGTCAGAGAAGTGACTTAGGAAGCACTAGGGCATGTCAGCATGTAGGTGAATCAGGGTAGTAGGAGGTGTGTGTTTGGGTGACTGAGTGGGGAGAGAATGAGGAGAGCAGAGGGGTGAAGAAGCCAGGAAGGAGGTAACCAGTAATTGCAGCCTGGCTGAGGGAAAGGACAGTGTTAATCAGGACAGTAAAATCCAGGTGGCTGAATCAAGGAAGGACTCAAAGATGATGCCAGCATTTTGAGATTTAGTAATTGGGACGTCAGTGGGTGGATAGCAGAAACAGTGACATTAAGAAAAGACATTTGTGTCCGCGTTGATGGTATAGTGGTGAGCATAGCTGCCTTCCAAGAAAAGACATTTGTGCCTGGCCAGTGTGCCTCAGTGGTTGAGCATTGACCTATGAATCAGGAGGTCACAGTTCGATTGTTGGTCAGGGCATGTGCCTGGGTTCCCAGCAGGTGGAGTGCAAGAGGCAGATTCTCATCATTAATGTTTTTATCTCTCCCTCTCACTCTCTGAAGTAAATAAAACCCTATATAATAAAAGCCTAATATATAAGTGTCTGGTTGGGTATTCAACCAATCAAAACATAATATGCTAATGATATGCTAAGGCTTCTCAACCTCTTGCTATGATGTGCACTGACCACCAGGAGGCAGACAGTCGATTGGTCAACCAGTCACTATGAAATGCACTGACTACCAGGGGCAGATGCTCCATTGGTAAGTTAGCTTGCTGCCGTGGTCTGGCAGATCAGGACTGGGTGAGATGGGCCAGACACGCCCTGGAGCCCTCCCACGATCCCTCCCTGGCTGGCCAACCTCTCGTGTCCCTTCTTGGCCCTGATGTGCACTGGTGAGGTCCCTCGGCCTGGCTTGCACCATCTCACAATCCAGGACCCCTCAGGGGATGTCAGAGAGCCGGCTTCAGCTCAATACTCATAGGCCAGGCCAAGGGACACCACCAGTGCACGAATCCGGGCACCGGGCCTCTAGTATACATATATTTAAAGTAAAAATTAGCAGTTATACAACAGTCATGGTGATGTAAAGTACAACATAGGGATTATAATCAATAATATTGTAATAACTATGTATGGTGCCAGGTGGTTACTAGACTTATGGGGGGATCACTTTCTAAGTTATAGAAATGTCTAACCACTATGTTGTATACCTGAGACTAATATAATGTTGAATATTAATTGTAATTAAATAATGATTTTAAATAAAAAATAAAAAATTATTTATTCTAAGTTAAAATAACCTAAAATTAGCATATGTATATACATGGTGCTATCGAGGCATTCTGGATTTTCTGCCAACTTCACCTTGAAATTACGTTCATTCTGTAATCTGAGGACATGAGAGAGGGAAGTTTATGCAGCACTTCCACTTGGTTATAAGTTTTTCTCCCAGGGAGTAAAGAGAATGGGAAGGAAACATTGCAAGTGGCACAAACCAATGGCTTGATCGTGGTTTCACAACAAAGGGAAGGCTCTGTATATAAGAAGTTGCCCACTTGATAACAATAAAAATCCCGCAAATGAAGTATTGGGGCTCCAAGTCCATTTCAAGGGCACACAGGCAGTGACCAGATGCCAGCTTATGGCACTAGGTTTCCGTCAACGGTAGAGAGACCCAAGGAAACAAGTGAGAGGCAGCCCTCTACTAAGTAACAGCCTCCTTTGTGGTACCAGAAGCAAAAACCATACAGAAGAAAGGCTCCAGGGCAGAGCCTCAATGCAAGCATACATTTCCGAAAGGCGCCTGCAAACAACAGTGACTGTTATTAAGCTCAAGGTAAGCTCAACGTGTAACATATCTGTTCACAGCACCAGCTTTGGGAGAGTCAGACTCTAGGTCCTCTTCAGCTTTCACTTACTTACTAGTTGTTGCCCTGGAGAAGTTAGTTAATGTCCCTCAGCCTCAAAAGAGTGAACATTAATTGAGTTCCAGGTTTGGTGGTGATTATCAATGTAATGATATAGTTAAGCACTGAGCTCAGGGTCCGATACACCATCAGATCAATAAACACTGGCTGGTGCTGCTTTTATGGTCCAGAGCAGCGGTTGCCAACCAGTGGTCTGTGGACCACTTGTGGTCTGTGAAGTCCGAAAAGTTTGCGACTGCTGGTCTAGAGTATCTCTGTCCAAATGAATGACATCTATAACTTCATTTTCTAGTAGCTCCATCACAAAATCAAAACAACAGGTGAAATGAATTTTAATGTTTTATTTTACCCAAGATATCCAAAAGATGATGTCAATATAGAATGACTATAACATTATTATTTTCTTCTTACCAAGCCTTTGAAATCAGTAATCGACACTTCCAGCACACCTCAATCAGACTAGGCTCATTTCATGTGCTCAATAGCAGGGAGAGGAGGTCCATGCTTCTCTGTCTCTCTTAGAATCACATTTTGGAATTCATTTGAAAATGAATTTCTGATCTAGAAAGAATTAAATCCAACAGAAACCGGTTTGGCTCAGTGGATAGAGCGTCGGCCTACGGATTGAAAAGTCCCAGGTTTGATTCCGGTCAGGGGCATGTACCTTGGTTGCAGGCACATCCCCATTGGGGGGTGCAAAAGGCAGCTGGTCGATGTTTCTCTCTCATCGATGTTTCTAACTCTATCCTTCTCAATTCCTCTCTGTGTAAAAATCAATAATATATATATATATACATATATATATGTATATATATATATATACACACATATATATATAAAGAATTAAATCCATACCTCCAATTATTTTTCAGCCCCTCCTACGTTAGCCCTAAGATTACTAAAAAGTGGACAGGCATCTGGCATGCACCATATCAAACATTTTAGTCATGCTCCTTCAAAACTCACCACAGTGAACTATCTAGAGATAAAAAATAAAATAAAAATGTAAGCATGGCTGAGTGATGAGCTGGAATGGTGTAAAGGAGTAAGGGTTGGGCATAAGATATACGTATTTAAATTTTTTAAATTAAATTTATTGGGGTAACAAATGCACAAAACAAAACAAGCTCAAAGATGATCTAAAGAGCCGAGAAAAGGCCAGTCTCCAAAGCCATAGCCTGGCTAAGAGCTGCTAAGAAAAAGCAGTACTCAAGCCAGCTGGGTGCAAGCAGGATGGTGGGGGGATGGAAGTGGGGACGGAAGAGGGAAGGCAGAGGGGAGGCAGTGGAGGCAGGGGAGGCAGGGAGCTTAGGTCTGAAAAGAGCAGAAGCCCACAATGAGCCGTCTGACAGACAGTGACGGGGGCTAGTAGGTTTGCAGCACAGACACTTCTCTGGAAACCACCTGCCCTGATAATACTGATTTTATCTGCGGCTTTGACTTGGGAGGCAGAACAACAGGAAAGAGGGAACTGCTGTTTGTTTGTTTTTTAGGGGAAGTAGGGAAAGAATCTCAAAACCTTTCTTTTCCTGTAATCAGAAGAGGAACTAGGAAATGCAAAATATTTTTCCGAGTATTAAATTTAAGGGAGGAATAAACTTCTCCCATGAAACGCTGATAGAACTTTCACCTCATATATTAATATGTATTTCCATGATCACTTAGCTAACGTAGTCATACAGGTATTCTGAGAGGCAGATTCAAAGCTCTGCACAAGAAAAAATGTAAGCAAATAAATGGAAATTGTTTCTTAACACATTGTGGACGGATCACGAAAATTTGCCAGCTTTGTTTAGTTCCATTTCACATTACGCAGTATTTTACAGAGTATCATACTTTAAAAAGATATTAGCTTGCAAGAACATGTAATAAATGACTTCAAAATGCAATGGGTATTTAATTTTAAAGCATGCCTTTAACATTTATGTAAAATGTTTTTTGCACGCGTTCAATAGAAACTTATCTGGCCACTGGGTAAAGCTAGCAATAAAACTACTGGTCTGCAAAGTGTTAAGTCACTACATGGAGATCAATTCATCAAACAGCAGAAGCCCGAAGTCTAACAGAATCTGGGCCACTGAACCTTTCTACTCTCACTAGTCCTCAAAGTCACCCACCTCATCAATATGCTATGTCCACAATGACCATGGTGCCCAAAGAGGCCCAGGTGTATCTGATCTATATTAATAAAAGAATGCAGAGAGAGGCATAAACCAGTTCAGAACGATGAAAGGGTTATGCTTCTGTCTATACCAAGTTGCGTATTGAGAGAAAAAGTCTATTTTGGACAGTGCAGAATACTGTGAGATCCAACAGAACAGGCACCTACTGCAGGTGTGACCTTGCACATGTTCCCTGAGTCTAGTTCATTCATCTGTAAAATAGGAATATTAATACTGACTTTGCAGATGTGTTGTGAAGGTGAGATGTGTGTGTAAATGGCTTTGCCTAGTGTCTGACAAAACAAGTATTTAACGAATAGTTGTTATTGACAATAACAATAATAAATGAGGTACTCATTTATTTCTATAGTTGACACCAGATGTAAGAAATTCCTGCATGGGGGGTGGAGGGTGTCCCTCAGCCCGGCCTACACCCTCTCCAATCTGGGACCCTTCGGGGGATGTCTGATTGCTGGTTTAGGCCCAATTCTCGCAATCCGGGACAGCTGGCTCATAACCATTTACCTGCCTGCCAACCTGATCCCTCTTACTGCTCTTCTCTGCCGGCCTGATCCCACTAACTGCTCTCCCCTGCTGGCCTGATCGCCCCTAACTGCCACTGCCTCGGCCCCACCACCATGGCTTGGCTTTGTCTGGAAGGACGTCTGGTCTAATTAGCATATTACCCTTTTATTAATATAGATCATCATAAAACTTAATTCAGAAAAGTTATTAGTAAAAAGAAGTATAAGGCAAATGTCACTAAAGTGACTTCCTTTTGTGTCTGTGCACATACCAGCATTCAAGTAAGACTCATTTTCTCAATCTTTGAAACCCTGAATGGTTTTATCAAATTTTATTTTCCCTAAGCTTAATAAAAAAACTGAGGAGAGATTGGTCTTGAATACCGGTGTAAGTGACCTTGAAACTGTGTGTTTTTTTAAAAAACAACTTAGTTATTCATCCATAACAGAATTTGACAGAGGGAGTTGGAGGGGAGGGAGAGTGGCTGATTGGGGGCGGGGTTAATGTGTGCTTTTCTAGGACCGTATGTGTTTATATTTTAAGTCTTAATGTACAAAGTGTTCCTCCCCCATGGTCTCAAAGGCCCTCTCAGGCTACCAAGAGATTCCTTGGGTCAGGACGAAATACATCTGAAAAGTTAACTCACACTAAAAAAAAATTATAATACTAAAAGGTATTATGACCTTTTTCCTTATAGCAGTATTTGTATTTTAAGAGGGATTTTTCCCTTTAAAAAAAAAAAGAAGATAACTCAAAGAAAAATCTCTTAAAGTCTAAAAAATGCAAACACAATTGCCATAGAGATGCGGACGCAAACACTTGGTATGCTGGTGAGTAGAGCACTAGGCATGGATGACAACCAAGGGACAGAAACCTTCCTCAATACCCCTCACATCACACTCCTGGGGCTTGGTACTTCAGCTGAAGGTCTGTCTGGTTTCAGGCAAACGATCTGCTCACACAACTTCAGGGTAACTGCTGTGTGTGTGTGTGTGTGTGTGTGTGTGTGTGTGTGTGTGTGTGTGTGTGTGTGTGTATTGACTTCAAGTTGATACACTGCACTATTAGAATCTCCATAACATTTAGGGTCCATCCACCAAGCAAGAATGCAACCCTGGCTTGCATCTGACCGGTGTGAAATGTGAAAACAAGCCAGGAGCCATTCTCCTGACACGTCCACAGCCAGCACGTAGCTAAGCTTACCTTTCTTTGGTCTGGATTTCACTGGCAGGGACTCCTTTTTTTCCATCGCTGCTTCTCTTTCTTTCCATCGGCGGATCTGTTCCTCTCTCATCTTGAAGAACAGGATCTGTTTCTGCTCTTCGCTGAGCTCTGCCAGCAGATCAGGATCTATGTACATCTCCGACAGTATCTGTTTCAGCATCTTCTCGGGCCTGGAGTCTTTTACACCTGTGGCAAAGGTTCTTGAAAATGGCTCCCAGGTGTGCTTCCACCTGGGCTGGCACTCGGAGGGACCTTCCCCAGAGACTCACAGCAATCCCAAAAGAAGGCTTGGGACGATAATTCAGCAGCCTGGCTCCTGGTTCCTGGCACTAAACATACTGACGCCCACAGTGCCGTTCATGAACCTGCGGAGAGCAACAGGCAGTATGAAAATGTGTAGGCACTGGGCAAGGACGGGCTTATGAATAAAGCTTAGAGGAAATACAGTATCGCTTTTTCTTTCTGGGCCAGAGGAAAGAATAGCTGAGGCACGCTGTGTTAACAGTTTGTGTAACTTCTATCCCGTAATTTCCAAAGATACTTTATCAAAACAAAACAAACCCTGACTTTTTACGGGTCAATCTCAGGGAAACAAAAAAACTAACAGAAGTTTGGCCTGGTCCCAACCAAGCAAACATATGATTACCTCAGAGCCTAACAAACCAACCGTATGGCTGAGAAAAGAATTTTTTAAAAAGGCAAGGGAGGAAATGAAAAGGCTCTCTCCAAACAACTTATTTCAAAACAAAATACTGTTTTTTTGAGACTTCGCAGCATTACCCACCTCAAACCGAACCAAAACAGAACCATGTTCGAGAAAGGAAAAGGAAGAAATAAAAATTAAAGCTATTTTCCCATTCCCCTTTAAAAGCAGCGCTGAATAAACGCAATTATGCACTCTCCTCTTCACAGGACAATGTAATGTCCAGGCAGCCTACTCGAACGGTGAAAACAGTGCAGGTGCAGGAGAGAACCCTCCCGTACATTCTGGAAGGTCACCAGGTTTTAGTTGCACCTCCTCCAGATAACCTAATTTAATAAAATCTAAATTTACAGGCCAGATAAATGGGGGGATGGCGAGCATTACAACGAATCCTTGCTGTGTAAAAGAGTTGATTAGAGGCTCCTTTAAAAAGGCTGTTAAAGTCAGCATTTGGAGTCATGGAAGGGGCTGGTAGAAGGGCATTTATGGGAATCTTAAGGAGTCATTACTTTGATTTCTTACCAAAGTGTAGCATGGACTACTGCAGTCACAATGGCTGACAATTCCATTGAGGTTTCATTCTACCTAATACATTTGTTTGATTGTGTGTGTGTGTGTGTGTGTGTGTGTGTGTGTGTGTGTGTTTAAATAGCAAACCTTCATACTTTGGTAATCAGAAGGAAATTATATATACAATTCCATTCAGATATTTCAATAGGATAAGATCACCCAAATTCTAAGAAACTGATTAATAATTTGGTGCTTATAATGACCCAATCATCTCACCATGTAGTCCTGCTCTCTCAAATGTCACTTCTCCAAACTAAGTTCAAAGGCTCTTAAACTTGAGAGGAGTCACTCAGCCTCCTCGTTCCTTCCCCTGTTGTCATCCACGAGTCCTGACTGTGTGGCTCCTCCCACCCTCTGGGAGTGTCCTTGCGTTTCCTCTCTTCCTCCTCCTCCTTGCAAACTGTTCCTCCACCCACCCCAGTCTCCTGAGACAAGTGTGGCTTGCCTACATTCACTAATGATTCGCTGTGTCGCGAAGACCTTTACTGGGGCTACAACTGTTCTGCTAACTGCATCCTATAACCTATCTCCCACAGCATTCGTCTACCTGAATGCAAATGGAGCACTGTATTAAGAGAAAATGAAAATAGAATTAAAAGCAGCGTCTGACTCCAATTCAGCCAGGCATGCCTATCTTAGGTTCTGTCTTTGTATTTTGCTTTGACACTCAAAGGATATAACAGCCAGAGAACTGATGTCTGACAGTGCTTTTTGACTTTGGGGTTCTAATAGCTTACCAAGAGGCAGGGCTTGCTAAATTAACACTCAGGGAGAGGTGTCCTGAGGCTGCCCTCCCTGTCTGTAGCCAACAGGAACCAGAGGAAGATTTGGTTCCTGGGAACCCTTGACTCCTGAGATGAAGAGATAAGGAGCCTAAGTGAATGGTAACTCCTTAACATTCCAGTAAATGTCCTTCTGTTGGCCCTTCCCTGGCTCCAATCGCTGACTTTGGTGGAAATAAAATATGGTAGAAAATGAGGAGCCCACTAAAGCCCAAGGCTTTTGCTCTGTTCCCATTTTGAATGGGGTGAATCCTAGCCACAGTAACAGCGCGAGTAAAGCCTGAAAACAAATCTCCTGAGAGTGCCAAGTTCACATTCCTCCCTTCTCCCCTACTCAGAGTACTCCTGGTAATAAGAACTTGCAATTTCTGTGCCAGCCACTACCTATAGCACTGTACATGCATTCACTCATTTAATTCTTGGAGTTCAGCCCCTCCCTCGCCCGGTACCACAGATGGAGAAGATGGAAATGGCAGAGCTGGGCAGCATGGCTCTGAGTTGGCTCGACTGTCCTCCATCCGCACAGTGGGGCACCTAGGCAAGCATCGTCAGGATGTGGCTCTGCCTGTGCACTTTCCTCGCAGCCATGGAAACACTGAACTGAAGTGTGTGTGGCAGAGTGCCTCTGGGGCAGGAGCCTCACCCTGGCCTTGCAGCTAAGCTTCCGGAGGGCAGGTGTTGAAAAGACCCCACCCTGGCCATGCCGCCCGGGTGTGGGTGTTGTTTGCTCACTGTTTCCTCCTCAGTCTCCCCTCTCACTCAACCACGAGGCATAGCACCGGCGGCATGGACTCTCACAGTGTGAAGGGTCCCACAGCACCTTTGCAATGAGATGCTCCAGCTCTTTCCCGGTTTTAGCTTTTTGCGTTGCCTGTCCGAGCCAACACGGCTTGTCAGCATTGAGGTTACCTAGTGGATCTTGAAGGAAAGACGCTGGCTTCCTTGGGAATGAACTCTTTCCTCCCCCTGCTCTCAGATGGAAAAGTCAACCCAGCACAGGGTGCTCAGAGGACAGCCAGCAAGGGACACACACACACACACACACACACACACACACACACGAACCGTGTGCCTCTCATGAACCGTGTGACTTTCGGCTGTGACTTCACTTCTCTGGACTCAGTTTCCTCACCTGTGAAATGAAGGCCTGCCCCGAGAATCTTTATAATTTGAGGACTATGCCAGGAAATCTATGTGAAGTTACAGGGGCAAGTGGAATCAGCCCGGGTGGAGGAAATAGAAATGAGGAAATTAATTCACTAGGGTTTTTCCCGCTTTCACTGACTGACAGGACAATTGTTGCTGATACTGAATCAAATGCCTGTCCCCTAACATATTGAGCACGGCAAACTTCCAGTTATTCAAGATCCGGTAAAAAGAAAAGGCTTAGCTAACTCAGTTTTCTTCTACAATAGCACTTTTCTTAAAAGACAGCAACGACAAGCCCCAAGCCCACATCTGCTATTTACTCCAAAAATAAATATCCAAGGGTCACAGGACCAGTTGTTTTCCAGGACACCCAAGGATTAACTCAGGGGACGTCTTCTACAGCCCTGTTCCACAAAATGAAAATTGTTTTCAATAACTCTGCGACAAAACAAAAACACAACAGCCCCCGATACAGCCTAAAACACAAAAACACCATAGTACAGACAGTGTTACTTCCATATTATGAATAGAGTTTGGATTTTCAGATTTTCAGCTACCTTAGTTCAACTTTGCCTTATTCATCTTTCTGCAAAAGGGCCGTTTTTTGGGGATAAAACGAGCTATCAGAGGGGAGAGCAATTCGTTAAGGTTTGCAAATATATACCATTCTTTAGAAATTTGAGATGACTGTACACATGGACTTATCTAAAAAATACCATTCGCATGCCAAATCTATGCCTTCCACTTATTCACTTAAAAAATGTTGGTATCTTAAGTTGTTCCTATGAAGCAGTCAATCAAATAAAAACAGCCATTTAGGAGGCGAGGAGACTAAGTTCAGAGAAAGCTGCCTCCCTGGCCTCTTCCCTTTGACCCTGGGGAGGGAAAGACACCTCCAAGAACAGGACAGGTTGTGACTTCTCACTGTCACCGTCGCCGCGCCCGTCCACCTGGGCTCCCGCAGGACCCCCGAGGGCAGGACGGGGGGCGGGGCAGGGCTGCCCACTTGGTGGAGGAAGGTTACTGCCCCTCCCCCCAACGGACCGGGGCCACTGTCCGGTCCGAAGCAGGCCGGCCCTCCGCACCCCAGCCGCAGAGAGTGCCCCGTCTCTGCCTCTCCGGGAAGGTCTGAGGCGGAGGAGGTCCCCCCACTCCCGGCTCTCCCCACGTGGGGCGCCATCGGGGGCCGCGGGAAGGCCTGGCCGCGGGGAGGCGGGGCGCCAGGCCCCGTCTGCGGAACTCCAGAACCCCGAGAGCCGCCCTCTGACACCCCAACGCGGCCGCCGCCCTCCCCCAGCTCCTCGCGGGCGGAACCGGCTGACGCGCGCGCACACGCCCCGCGGGGACCGGAGCCCCGCCCGCAGCCAGGGCTGCCCGAGGCTCCCCACGTGCCCGCGGCCGCCCCATCGGGGACCCCTTACCGCCACCACGAGCCCCCCTCTCCCCCCTTTCGCCCTCGGGCTCACCCGCCAGCGACTCCAGACACAGGACACCGGACACCCGACACCCGCCGCCGGGTTCCCGGGACGGAGATCGCCGCCCGGCCCCGCACCTGCGCCCGCCGGGGCGCGGGGCTACGGGGGGAGCGCGCGGGCCGGGGACCCAGACTCAGCCCCGGGGCATCCCCAGCCCTGCGCCCTCAACGACCCGGAGACCCCAGCCCCCGGCCGCCCCTCCTCCAAATCGCCCCCCCTCCCCGACCCCCACCCTCCCCTCCCCGCGCCCTCCTGCAGGGCCCGGGGCTCACCTGGCTGGCCCCGCGCGCCCCCGCCCAGTGCGGTGCGGGCGGCGGCAGCTGTCTGTCGGGGCGGGAGGGGAGACAGAGGCACAGCCAGCGGCACCGGCTGCCGGACAAACACTCCAAACACTCGGCGAGATGTTGGCAAACGGCGTCCCTGGGCCCGGCCCGCCCGCGCCGCCGCCCCACCCACGGCCACATGCCCGGGTGACTGGCTG